CCCTTCGAGGCTGTCAATTTCCGGTTTGTAATCTAAAATGACTGAAAATTGCAAATTTCGCAAGGCTATATTTTCCGCATTTTACAACATTTTGCAACGAAACTTTGGAATATTACTAATTTTGTGATGCTCCTTCAAGCTGTAAGGAAATTTTTGTTGAGATCAAAATTTAGTCTATTACGCAAATGGTCTATTTGATCAAGTCCGAGGCGAAGACGAGGACTGGCTCAAAATACGCGGACTTGAAATCTAGTCCACTCCTCATAGTCGGATTTGAAATATTACATCCATAATACTATATCCATAGTGTAGAAATTGCAATTAATATGAACATTGGATTTCCATACTATTTTCAACTAAGATTCCTCACTATTTCCATAGAAAGGATTATGAGAAAAAATTTCCTGTGTGGCTATGTCGACAATTTGACAGATTTAAAAATCTTTTCTCATCAATATTCAAGCTTGAAAATTGGCTTATTGGATTCAAAGAATACTCTATATCTAATCCTGGTTTTCAGCTCAACCTTGCACATGCTTAGCGATATGGCATTATCTTTTAATTTCCGGTCGTGAATCGTTCGTCCTGGCGCCCATAATGGGAAATATATACCGTATTTGTATCACACGAACGTGTATGTAACAACCAAGTTATTATATTCATCTAGCATTCGTGCATTTACATTTTCACAATAACCATGCATTTATTATTTAACTCTGTGACAAGGACAAAGTGGGAAGTTGGAGGACAGCCAAGCCAAAGCTCACTAAAAGTTCTGTAAAATTAATATTAAGCTGTGTAGGAAATTTTAATTAATAATAAAAGTTTTTTGGCAGTGTGAAAAATCGCAAAACATGCGTTATAATATATGTTGTACGTAAAAACTCGCAAGTTGTTATACGGATCTGCGAAAAGTGTAACAGGGGTCTTGTCAAGACGATATCAGGCTGAGTTCGCACTGCTTGTTCCCAGTTATTGTGTCTGAAAGTCTGAAACAAGTTATCACCTTGTTACAAAGTTAATAACGATAACAGAGTCGACGTGCTACAAGTTATTCCAACAAGGCCAATACAGCCTGTTCGTTGTTACGTCCAGCCGATATCAGACTTGCTGGAACAACTTGTTGCGAGTCTGTTTGCCTCATCAACCTTGTTACAAGATGATAACAACTGGGAACAAGCAGTGCGAACACATCTTGTTGACATGTTGTGATTTTTACGCGTTTATGTGAGAACGGTTTTGATTGGCTGAAGTGCGTGGTCAATAATAACTCGTCTGAGCACGGCAAAAACTATGATGCGGGAGTATTTTTTGCGTTATGTTATCAGTCTATAAATATAATTCGTTGAACAAAAACATTGAATTCCGTTGAATTTTGACTGACAACTGAATTTATTTTATAGTCCAGTTAATCTGTGACCAGGGGTCAAAGAAATTGCAATATAATTTTTTTCAGTGGTAAAATATGAGGGAAGGTGTTCTGATTAACATGCTAAAAATAAAAATAAAATCCCTTCGGTGGAACATGGTGAAAATCGAGTTTTTCTTACTTCTACCTATAGAAAACCATTGTGGACAGAATGTTGAAATTTTGAAATCATTTTTAGGCAAATGTAACCTACATTATTGGAAAGCTTAGAAAAAAACTAAAATATAGATCATTAAACGGTTATATTCAATTTACTGGTCAGTTTGTCGTTATTCTAGCTCAAAGTTGGAAAAATAGTGCCAAATTTGCACAAAATACAAATTTATGGCATTTTAAATCTTGTATAACTTCGGCTGGATAGGCAAAAGCAAGATAACCGTTTAATGATCTATATTTTAGTTTTTTCTAAGCTTTCCAATAATGTAGGTTACATTCGCCTAAAAATGATTTCAAAATTTCAACATTCTGTCCACAATGGTTTTGTATAGGTAGAAGTAAGAAAAACTTGATTTTCACCATGTTCCACCGAAGGGATTTTTTTGGATTTTTAGTATGTTAATCAGAACAACTTTTCTCACACTTTACCACTGAAAACAAATCTATTGCGATTACTTTGATCAGGACCATGTACTTTTAGTATAAATTTCCAGGTGACTATTGATTTTTCTGCATTCTAATTGGTAAAGATTCACTGTCTCTGGTCAGTCTGATAGTCACTGGTCAGTGACTATAGCTTTTTTTCAAAATGGCTGCTCGTTTTGCCGTGGTAACAGAGGAGGAAATTGCCAAAATTAAGGAGGCTCCCTACAGTTATTCTTGTTTAAGCAATAATTCCGTAAAACAGGCTTATTCGTGCAGAACGCGAATTCTTTTCGACTTGGTGGCAATATTGGTCACCTAAGGAATATTTCGAAATAGATTTCGACGATGTCAATGTTCCCATGGCAACATGACGACAGCATAAAGCCTTCCAATTTAACCCATAAATGTGCCGCTGTCTCAAAAACGATGTCGGTGACCTATCTTTTTTATTTCATATATCAATAAGGAATGATGCTCTGCAACTGTTGTGAAAGTTTAAAAAAATTCTGTAGTGTGTGATTTTTGTAAAAGCGAAAAATTTATTGCGAAATTTCCACACTACAGATTTTTTTAAATTTGAAATTTATAAAATTTACCGCAAAATAAATTCGTGGTCAAAATTTGAAGATAGGTCACCGATGAAACTAATGAGTAAAATGCAAATAAAGTTAGAAAATAGCCCCGTGTAACTCGAGAAATTCCCCTATTGAAAAGCGTCGCTGACTAGTGAAAGATTGTACGCGGGCGCAGAACGAGTTTTCATTCAGCAAAATCGAGCCGCAATGTTGTTTTTACTGTTTTGTTTTTGTCAACTTTTCGATTTATTTGAGTGCTATGGACAGCCAAGGATTATTGTGAAGGATTAAATCGATGAAAACAAGGTTTTTTGAATCCTGCCGTTTACTCAATCTATGAGCTGTAACAACCTATTAACAGGTGGACGTGTTTTTTTGTTTCATGTTTGGTTTTGTACTTTTTGCTAAAAATGAACAATTAGGCTATGAAACTGAAATATTTTTCTGTTTACATATAATCACTTTAATCTTGTAGAAATACGACTAAAAACATGAACGTTTTCTTGAGAAGTAAACAACTTTTTAAACGTTTGTATGCAATTTTGCAAATGTTTTACAGTTGAGTCATTTGACAGTGTATAAAAAACTTAAAATATATTGTTTCGTAGCTATTTTTTGGTCTAGTGATATTCGTATCATATGTAGAATTGCTGTATAGACTCGCAAGTGATTTGGCACTCAAAACGAAGTATTATTCAACGCTTTTTCCCATTAGAAACCTTT